ATAGCCAAGTTCTTCAGAAATGCAAACTAAATAGATTTAGGGGTTGAAAATTTCATAAAATTTCATAGACAATATGCAGTTCATGACGCATCAATAGGCACTGCAATCATGTTTTGGAAGTGTATTGATAACAAAAACAGAATGTTATTTTGGAAGGGAAACTAAAAATCATAACCAGCTCAGCTTCTGGACACTCAAGTAAAAATGCCTCCTTATTCGGTGAATAGAAGGAAACAAGAAAAAAAATGTTTTCTTTGGAACATGATTGGTGACACTTTTAATTTCAAATCCTTTTGAACTTGACAATGGAGATTTTTTAGGTGATATAGCAAAAGGATTAATGCCTTATTATATGTCTCATTTGTAAAATTGTACTGCCGTATCTTGTTGACTACAACGTTGAGTTTCTCAATAATGGCAAAGCAACCTAGATAGCTGGCATAGAATAATACCAAGATCAATGAAATCATAGGCACTCTGCTGAAAAAACAAGAAAGTATTTATTGAAGAAGAAATGGCATCAGGTGTATACTTTCTCTTATAGAAAATATAAGAACAGAAGAGAAATTACTTTTACTTCCTGATTTTCCCCAATGTTGGTGGTTGTGCGAGGAGAGGTAGGGGTGGTTGTTAATGTTGGGAAATCAACACGCACACGCAACACACACGCACAAAATAATAAGTTCAAATCAAGAATAAAAACACACAAATATATTTGTTTCGGCTCAACTCAAAATGGCTTACTCTAAACCTAATCTATTGTCAAATAAATCTGAGACTTTTGGAATGAAAAAAGTCACCAAAAACTCTTTACTTAAAACTTAACCTAAAATTTAATTACATCATTTTAATAATCTACTCACTTAGCTATTCTCTTGATGTCTAACTATCTGAGATTACTAAACCAAAACCAAAGCATTTTATTTATAAAGGTGAAATCCTTTATACCTTTACTAAACTCCCGATATGGGATACAAAACAAACTCAAAACTCTTATAACTTTTCACGTGAGATTTTAAGATTCAAGACAAATCCTAACAAATCTTTCATTGACTTGAATCTTCAAACACTTCAACAGAATCTACAAAGCAAACAGGCTTACCTTTCTTCTTTCCTTTTATCATAGGGATACCAACAATTGAGTCTCCATGTACAAGTGATTTTTGATCTTATTCCCTTGTAGAATCATACTATCATTCTTGTACACTTTCAACAAATCATTACTATCATAGTGTATGTACCCCGAGAAGCTAACTCACCCAAAGCAATTAAATTGTAGTTATAATTCAGTACATACCTTATATGTCAAAGTGTCTTAACAGCATTATTGTGAGATCTAAGTCAAACACTCTCAATGCCTTAAAATCTATTGTTAGCAACCATAATATCTCTATACTTCTCATTTTCATCTAACTCTATAGAGCAACTCCTATCATTACAAACATGGACTGTAGCAACTAAATTCAAAACCCAACCTTTATCACCTTTCAAAATTTGAGTCTCATCCACACAAGTCATCAAAGTGACATCATCATCAGACACAATAGCAACAATATCACTCTTTTCTTCATCTAATTTTTTCTCATCATTCGTCTTTTTGAAAGCAACCATATCCCTTTTGTAGCTTCTTATAGCGTACTTGGATATGTCTTTTTTTATCACAATAATAACGTTTTGTGTCACTTTAATATTTGTCTCTTGACTTGGATCTTCTTTTTGATCCATTAATTTTTTTTAGTCCTTCCTTAATCAAAACCCTCTACAGCTAGTGTATTCTCATCAGGTGATGAATTTTGTGCTCCCATAAACCTTTCATTCTCAAGTAATAGGGCAGTCACATCATCCAACTTCAAAGTAGACCTACCCACCAATAAAGTCTAAACTAAAGGTCTATAAGACTTTGACAAAGATGACAGTAAAATTAAAACATTATCTTCATCTTTTAACTCATCAATAGAAATCGCTAGAAACCAATCTATTAAACTCATTCAAGTGATTATGAAGATTCATACCTTCTTTCATCTTTAAAAATACAAATCTATCTTTAAAGAATACAGATTCATCTTTAAACATAATTTGTTAGTCAACGACTTCGAAGTATAAATACCCTCATGCTTATCCTATAAACTCTTCGGAATACTCTCGATTAATACACTATACTTTACTCTAGGGTTAGTGCCAATCTAATAGCAGTAACAGCTTTCTTCTAAATTTTATTCTAATTGCCGTTAAACATTCCCTCTCTGATGCCTGATCCAATCTTTGTTGTACTAATAAATCTTGAATTGTACTTTGCCATAACATAAAATTACTCTTTCCATCAAATAATAGAATCTCAAACTTAAGTATAAACATACTAGACATACCTTATTCGGATATCTTGAAACATTACTTCAAGATCTCTTGGGCTCATGAACCTTAAACCTCGAAAATGGAACTCAAACTTAAGCATAGGCATACTAGACATACCTTCTTCGGACATCTTGAAACATTACTTCACGATGTCTTGGGCCCACGAACCTTAAACCTCGAACCTTGCCTGATACCATTTATTAGAGATAACCACAGCTTTGATACCACTTGTTCGAAAATCAACACGCACACGCAATATACACGCACAAAATAGCAAGCTCAAATTAAGAATAAGAACACACAAATATATAAGTTTCAGCCTAACTCAAAATAGCCTACTTCAAACTTAATCCATTATCAAATAAATCTTTACAATTAAGAGATTTTTGGAATAAAAAAAATTACCAAAAACTTCTTACTCAAAACTTAACCCAAAACCCAATTACATCCTTTTAATAACTTACTCACCTAGCTATTCTCTTAATGTCTAACTATCTAGGATTATCAAATCAAAACCAAAACATCGGTGAAACCCTTTATACATTTACTAAACTCATGATGTGGGATATAAAATAAACTCAAAACTTTGAATGTGAGATTATGAAATTCAAGGTAAATCTCAACGGTTAGTGTAATCTTCTGCTATGAAAGGTCCCTCATAGACCAACATATCTTTAAACCTCTCTACCCAGCTACCATTTTGGGGGAAGATTCCATAGTGCTGATCATTATTTCCAGTAAGGCTTAAAGGCCATATAATGTTCAAACTGTAACTTTTGAGACGGTCATCAGAAACATAAAAAAAAAAAAAATGGAAAAGAAACTTTTGTCAACAAGCACCAGTCCTGAACCTATAATAGATAAGTTTCAGCAAGCATGCACGCTCAGTTGTAATTTTTTGGGAAAAATGCTTATTGATTGATTGGTAGCAGCCAGATATTATAAGAAGGCAAAGTAGGTACAACTACGTTAAAGAAGCACACACATAGTGCTGATCCCACTTGCTGTAAAGGAAGCAAACCACACACTCACGCTTAACAATTTTTTTTTTTAAAGAGGAAAGTATGATCTAATGCCCCCAAGACAAGGACCTCCACAAGGAATATTTAGCTAAAGTCTATTAACGCATGTAATGGGACAGAAGACTTGGAAGGATAAAAGCAAACATGTAAAACACAAGTCCTGCAGTTTATTATCAGTAAATCCTGTTAAAAAAAAAGGGGATAAATCAGTGTTGTTTCAAAGAGGTGAAGCATAAAACTGCATGGATTACAAGTAATAACGCAATACAAGATCAAGGAGAAGATCCTAAGTGACAAAAGGATGAGAAGTAATCAGTGTTGTCCTTTGATTGCCCCAATGCATGTACGTTGTCCAAACTTCATACAATAATAAAACTGTCGAATGCCTTTCATCTGTTGCCACCACAGTTTTCACTAGATATGTCTTAAACTGAAAAATGAGTTCAAACTGTCACTTGAAGTAGATCAATTAATCTTTGTCCTTGTTGTTTAAACTGTATCTTGGATGTTCGATTACATGTTTTCCACATCTTTCACCAGATTGCAATAGCTGACATGTCTTTTTTTTTTGACCCATGCTGTTGTGTATGCTGAGCTGTGAATACTAAGTGGGTGGGCAAAACGGGTGTGCAAATTAATAACCGGATCCTTAAAAGAAATGAATTATTGAGTAGCAAAATTCATGTTACCTCTGGAAAATTAATGCTGGCTGGTAAATTTCACTATCTTGATCTTTTGTAAAAGTGGGAACAAGAGATTTGGGCACTTCACACTTTCGTTAAGCATTCTCAAACTCAAATCAGTTCAATCGAGAATGGTGCTCTCCACGTGTCAATTTGCGAGCACTACGAGAATGAAGATATTCTCTCATTACCATAACTTACCATAACCATGCTAATTGCTAAACATATGTATAACTTCGTCAATCACATTGACAAATCAAATATATATATATATATATATATATATTTAGAATCTTTCCTTGGATGAGATTGCAAAATCAAATTCATAATTGTCAAAGACGTTCACATGTAAGCACCATATCTCATATCATTCAGAAATGGGATTGAAAGGTGACATATATGCATGAAAACAGCCTGGAAATATGTTTTTAAGAAAAGAGAGAGATGGAGCTTCCTGGCTAAAGCGAGTTTGATTTTCTGCAGCAAACATTAACTGGAATGACAATCTTGTATACAGCAGGGCAACGATCGAACTTATTGTTGAAAGCTTATGGTATTAGTAGCCAATTCCAGATTTGACATGTCACAAAGTAAAGTAAAAGGTTTAAGATCAAGCTGTGATAGAGGTTGACCTATCCAAGTTGTCAAGAGAGATAATGGCTTGTAAATATCTAGGCAAAGATCAAATTGGTTATAACCAGAAAATCTGTCACATATCACAGGAAATTGCTTCAATAACTATAGATCCAATCTTAAATAAAAAAGTTTTGCACATACAATTGCCAGTACTTTTCAGCAATCAGCAGGGACAAGATCACAAGAATGCAAGCTCAAATGACGAAATATCTTCAATATGATAGAAATGGACCGTGACATTCATGGTCATTATCCCATGATTTCTCTTCGCTACCCCATCAGGATCCACACTGTAAGTCCACCTCAAATCATGATCCGAAAATCTGTTAGTTTCTATAGCTAAAAATGAATTAAGAAACGATCGTTTCAATGTTAATACTTTTCAGGCACTTGTTAAGTGGCTCCTTGCAGCTTTATTTTCCAATTATGATACCAGATTTTGAGTTACAAAGTCCTATAAAGAACTGAAAGAAAAATATATTTGCAGATATGAATAAAGTCAACAAACTACTCAGCTTCACAAACCATTTCAATTTCAGGAGGAAAATACATAAATGAAAGAGCTCAAACAAATCTCTGAATTCTGAAGACATACACTTTTTTCTTTTCCTGATGGATGCACGTTATGCAATTTTTGCATCATTTTCATTTTATATGAAAAACAATCTCAACCAAAAAAAAAATCTATTTTATCACAGCACCCGCTAGAAAATCAAGAGATACCATTACACAGTTTTTGTGCAGAGCAGTTTTTTAGCCCATCATGTATAGACATCACTCATGCTTGTTTGACTTGATTCCGCATTAAGTACTTGATTACATCCAAAAGTACAGCATTGCCTGTCCACAAATATCAGTCGTGTTATCAAGCTTTGAAGCAAAGGAATATAAATAGAATGAAATCCAGAATGCAGAAAGGGCTATGTAAGCCTTTGCTATACCTGTGGTCATCAAGTTTTGCAAGCAGATTAAAGGAATATATTGCATGTGCATGCAATAGAGTGATAAAAAGAGAAAGGGACAATCACAAGAAACATAAAACAAGAGGAAAGGCATACCTCTGTGAGAGGAAGTAGAGTCACCTCATCCGAAGGAGATGATTTCTTTGGTCTCCAACTTTTCATTTCAGATTGTATTGAATTAAGCTGTTCTCGTAGCTCCTTCAAAAAATTCAGTTCCTCTTCCCTTCCTTCACTAATTTCATGCCTTGTGTTGTTTCTCTCACTCTCAAGCTGCTCAACTCTCTGAGTCAGCTGTTGTAACTTAGATCGATAGTCAATAACACCAGAGGCTTGGCCAAGCAGAGCCGATTTGCAGTCAGCAGTAGTCTGATCTCTCTGTTTACATAACCTTTTCTCATGGTTTGCACCTAGCAAGCTATTCTTCTTTACCCATTCAGTTTCATATTCATCAGGTGATTTGCAGTCAGCGTTCATCTCATCTCTCAGTTTACATAATTTTTTCTCGGGCTTTGCATTTAGAAAGTTATTCATCTTTATCCAGTCAATAACATCCTCTTCAGGTGATTCCAAAGTTTCTTCCAGGATCAAGTCTGGCTTCTTGAGCCTGTTATCTCCTTCCAAAATTGGTTTACACTGACATTTTTCCCCATTAAAGCAGGTTTTGTTTTTTTCACTGCTTTCTGGAACTTCAATTATATCTGGGACTTCAAATATATCATGCACAATACTAGAGGAACAGGCAGCACTTGAAATGGCTCTTTCTAATGAATCTTCGTAAGTTTTTATGTTGTGACATTTAGGGGGAAAATTTGCTCTCGACGGATCAGTGAATGAGCTTGTACTTCGGGACCCCGATTCAACCTTTACTTTAGAAAAATTATTTTGACCAACTTCTTTACAATCTGAAATCTCTTTCACCTTTTCATCTAGCATTCTGATCTGTTCCCAGTAAGAATCAAAGTCCCCAGCAGCTGAGTGTACTGAGCTCCTCTTTGAATCCAAGCTTTGATCACGAACTACCAGGTCAGATTTTCCAGCAACTATTCTTGAAAACAAATCTGGCACTGGAGTTGGATATTTTTCTCCATCACTAGTAGTCTTCTTTTGATGGAAATCTGTTGGTAAGGTTGCAGGCAGAGAACTAAGTCTTCTCACAGTGGCTTTAAAGCCCTTTTCTCCAGGGAATGCATCATTTTTTTCTGCATATGTATTCTCAGGAAATGATGGTGTTCCAGTATCACCCAAATCATCACAGCCCAAGCTTAGAAGTTTATACTTGTATGCCTGAATTTGGTACTCAAGAGAAGAAATTTCCATTTCTTTCTGATACATAAGATCTTCAAAAATGGCAAGAGACTCCTCTGCATGGCAAATCTTTTCTTCTGCCAATCTCTTGTATTGACTTGCTTCCATCTTTAACGCTGCCTTTTCACCTTGCAAACGCAGTATCATGGACAAAGCTTCATTAGTGGCAGTAGCAGAGGATTCTCTTTCCACATCCAGCTCAGCGTAGAGCTTCTGCAGAAGTTGCTGTTGAGAGCGAAGTGTTTCGTTTAGAACTGTAATATCCGTTTCCTGAATAGGCGAACTTGCAATACTACCAGCCATTGTACATTAATCTAACTTGAAACAACTTGGTTCTGACTTCTGAAAGACAAACAGACCAAATATCTCCCAACATCAATCACCCAGAAAAAAAAAATCATTTCTCTTTTACATATTCTTGTGAAAGGCATCCCAAATAACAAATTGAAAAGAGGATCAAGCTATGAAAGTAGAATTATAAAAGAACATATAAATTGGAGAACTGGCGCATTTCTCTAACATATACATTTAGACAAAATATCCCAATCAAGCAAGCTGAAGCAAATAATCTAACACAAATTTTTTTCTTGTGGAAAGATTTCACACTTTTACCAATAAACTTTCTCCCTATCTCACATGCCCCAAACCCATTACATCCAAGAGTTCTCAGAAGCATAAGCAAATATTTATAATTTTATATGCACACAAAAAATAGTAAACTTATCTACTTACCAAATAATTTTACAAAGGTAATTCTAAACAAACAAAAATAGATTTGAGTCAGAAAAAAAAAAAAGCCAGCATATTCTTTCAGCATTATATTTTCCCTAGAAAAGGTAACCATAAAAGCATCATGTTTCTGGGAAAATAAGACTCAAAAACTAAAAGAGAAACTAAATTCCAAAAAGTATCTAAACTGTAGAAGAAACAAAGGTACCTGGTAGTTTGCAGAAAGAAACAAGTTTGATCTTCAGAGCGGGGCCCCTGATTGATGAAGAAAACGACCAATTTCTATTCTCAAGATAGCAGCCCTCAGTTACAACACCATCGTTTCTACAAGTTTCACCCTTGTCTATTAGAGGAACCCAAAATATCATTCACTGCTAGCCCCGCAAAAACCAAGAAGAATAGAAACTCAAAACCAAACCCAGTTTTCAATTCTTAATCAATGATAATTTGGAAACAAGAAATAAGACAAGAAGGTTAACGGGAAAAGAATTCTCTCTCTCTTTTTCTATTTTTTTTTTTTTTCAAATGAAACCTGGGAAACCCTGAAATCTGTCGGATATGGTCAGAATTATTACCAGCACGGCCTGGCTTCTTGCTTTGCTTTGTAACAAAGAAAAGACAAGTTCAACCATTGGCTGGTTTAAAAAGGAAAAAAAAATTACAAAAATGATTTTGGCAAGACAATCCTGAAACAGAAGAGAGAGAAAGGCATTTGGTTTAGAGAATTGAAACGTACGGGTAAACCTTGGAAATATCAAGAGAGAGTTAATGTTAAATCTGATAATTGTTGGCATTTGACTTGGATTAGCTTTTTTATCAGGTGGAATATCATTTATCATCATTACCTTAGTGGGACCTGGGTTTCCTTCTTTTTTCCTTTTTCCCGCAAACTTTGTTCAAAGCCTTCCATTTTTAAAAAGCCGTTGAGGTTTAAAGCCATCTTCCTAACGGCTATTAGCGGGTCCACATGCCTTACCGACCATTTCAATTTCATTACATTTGCCTGCCCCACGCGTTGTCTGTATCATTCATTCCATAATAATAAATGGCATTGGCAAGGTTTAATTAATTCGCCTTTGACTACAAACGTTAATGTTCAGTTCAGGTTAATCTCCCAAAACAAATTTATCTGACATAGCATTTCAATCAACTATTCTCGATTTTAAAATTTAATTAGGTTAGTTTATGAAATTATCATTAAAAATTAATATTTAATAATTTTAAAATTTAAATTTTGCAATTTCTTTTTTTTATTATCTCAAACAATATTTAATTATAAATAATTAATTACATTACAATAATTATAGATAATATACTTTTCAAATTGTAACTTATTTTTAAAAAGTAAAAAACTATTAATTAGCCACTCAAATATATAATATATAAAAATATTTATATATATGTATATACACTTTAAACGACATATCAATTAAATAGGTTCAATTGAATTTGATTTGGATCAATTTAATTTGGATCATTTATATTTTGAAAAAAATAGGGTCAATTTTTGATTGAGTCATTCTAATTTGGGATGATTTTGGATTTGATCTATTTTAGGTTCAGACCAATTTGGGTTTGGTCATTTCAATTCAAGTATTTTGGGTTTGATACTTGGATTATTTAGGTTTTGATAATTTTAGTTGGGATAATTTTAGGTTCAATTTATTAATTTTTACAATAAAATTAAATTAAATTTAAATAGATTATTTGATCAAATATGAATTAGATTTTATTAGAATTTTATTAAAAGATAAAAAATAAAAAAAACATTTTAAAATAAATATAAATATTGTAATTTGTATGCTTTAAATTAAATTAAATTTTTATATAAATCAAACATATGTGATTTTATTAGACTTGATAAATTTAAATACAATACAATGATATGATACCAAAACAATATTAAAAAATTGTATGAGTTTTAAGAATATGTAATCCGTTTTTAGCGCGTCAATAAAAATTGACACATGTAAAATACAAAAATACTTTTAATTAAACCGTGCCATACAACTACATGTATTAATTATTAAATACGAGAAATATATTTACCACATTTGACATGTTTAATAATTTTTTATATTTATTTGAATTTAATCTAAATATATAAAAATTATTTTAAACTTTTAATTATAAAACATAATTACATATTTGATATAATCATATAAAATTATTTCAGATATTTTTTTATGATACACATTTAGATACAATTATTTTTTATATTAACAATATAAGTACATTATCAACTATCGATTTCTATAATTGTAACTCATTATTTAATAGCTTATTATTTTAGATTTTAGTATACTAATAGCTCATTATATAATTTATTCTAAATTACATGATTAAAAATTAATAATATAATTATAACATAGACATAAAGTATAAACACAAATCACTGACTTATTTTATATATTTTTATTTTAAATCATATGATAGTTGATACCCATGTATAATAAGACATTATATAATTTATTTTAAATGATACATTGATATGTATACCTATAATAATTAAAAATATATAATTTATTTTTAAATCATATTATAAAATATAAGAAATTTTATAAGTAACATAACATATATATAATTTATACTAGTTTAATATTAAAAACATATATTAATTGGATATTTTAATAATTTTAATAAGTTATCATTTGTGTTATGTTTATTATTTTTATTTGTGTTATATTTATTATTTTTATTAAATTAATATTTTTAGATAAAATTATACTTATTTTAGTTTTAGATTATTTCAAATTAATTTTTCGGATCATTTTAATTTCGAATTGATTTAGGTTCAAATCAATTTCAATTTTGGGTTGTTGATTTTTATGATCAATTGAGTTGGATCGAATTCTCGAGTGAATTAAATAATTTTTTAGATTTGAGCCAAAATTAGTAGGTCTATTTTAAACATACCCTTTAGATCGAGAATTTAGATGGAGCAAAGCAATCACCTTTAAACAAATAGGGTATGTATTGTTCCAAGAAGACGCTATAGGAATTAGAACTTTAAATTTTATTTTAGAAGTCTCCTATTCTAATTTTAAGATGAATGGTAAGATTAATGAAAGTAGGAAGGAATATTTTCCGTCATGTAGTTCGAAACCCTTAATATATATAGATATATATTGTGCCGTGGGTTGTAATTTACTGCCAAGTTCATACAGTAGATCTTCTTTCCACATGCTTTTTTTTTTTTCTTAAAAAAATTTTTCATTAATTTGACACATGGTTTGAGCATTGATTCTCTGGGAACATCTCAGTCTTATATTCAATGTCTCCGTTTTATGAGTCATGGCATAAGCATGTGAATGGTTAGCCTTTTTTCTAATTTACCAGCCGGGCGGAAAGAAAAGGACGGGAAAGGAGAAATAATTAAATAAGAGTTAATTATATTTTTGATATTTAAATTTTGAAAAAATGTATAAATTAGTATCTAAAAAAATAAAATGTATAATTTATATTTTTAACTTTTTAAATAATTTACAGTTTGCATCTTATACTTTCAAATTATGTACTATATTAACTTGAATTTTAATCTTACTAACTATATTAGCTTATATAAAACCATTATTCTGGATAAAAATTCATATATTATTTAATTATATGTTCATCGTATATATTATCAACGTATTCTTTTTAATATAAATGTATTAGACTGATCAATTATTTTTGAATTATAAAAAATATATAGGACCGATCGATTATTTTTTATCACGTAACATTCATTTGATAATTTTTACAAAATATTTAACATTTATTTAATAAATAACATGCATAAAACATAATTATATTAGTTAGATGTCATGTAAGAGTTAACAATATTAAAATTTAAATTAAAATAATACATTATTGAAAGTTTAAAAAATAAATTGTAAATTTTTTTAAAAAAATTAAATACCAAAAGCATAATTTACTCCTCAAACAAATACTAAAATAAAAGAAAAAATATTGTTGTACTTAACTCGCATGTAGGGTGCAATCAAACTTCTGGGCTGAAATTAAGCTCCGGTTCATGCACACTATTGGAGTTTGCATGCGTACATGGAAGTATTATGCCGGTTCGATTTTAAAAATTAAAAAAATCAAATAAATCCACTTTACTTAAAATGATCAATCAAATCAATATCAATTAAAATGATTGGGCGAAATAATTGAAATCGACATCAATTTGGTTGGCTTAATAGGTTTTAATTATAAAGAAATATACTATTTATATTATTATATAAAGTTATTTTATATTATATATTATATGTGATATATAAAGAGTAGGAATCTATTTATGTCTTTTATTTTTTAATTAAAATGATTAAAATTAAAAATATTATTTTGATTTAAATTAGTTTTGAATTCAATTTTAATCTAATAAGAAATATAAGATTTATACTAATATAATTGATATATTTTTTTATATATAAAATAAATGATATATTATATATAATTTTAGGTCATGCTTGGTGCATAAAATTATGATAAGATAAGATAAAATAATATTATAAATAAGATTAGATTAAATAATATTTAGGTAATCTTGTATTTGATGTTTGTAAAAATTAAGACAAGATAATTTATTTATTAGCTAAAATTATTTTTTCTTAAAGTTTATACAATTTAAATTATTAATATAATTTTTAAAGATATAATAATGTAGACACCCATTTTGTCCAGTTTTGTTTTAACCTAAATGTAAAATTGTTTTTATTTATTTATTTATTTATAGTTTGTTATTATTATTATTATTATTATTATTATTATTATTATTGTTATTATTATTTTATTTTTCTATTTATTATCTTTCCTATCTTTTTTTCTCTGGTTTTGTCCCATAGTCTTTGGTGTATTAAATGCACTGTCAGACTTTGCAACAAAAATGTCAAAAGCTGAATTTTGGTGGAAGAAGTCACCGGTAGCCATAATTTTTTTTCCTCAAGTACTATTTTTTTTTTTTTTTGCAAATCTTATTTTTTTCATCTTCAAATTTTAGAAAATATGAGATTTGATCTTTCTATGGCTCTATAAACAGAGCCACACAATAAACAAGAAAAGAGAACCTAAAAAGAATAAAACCTAGAGAAAAAAAAAACACTTCCAAAGTCAAACACAATTTTTTAAGAAGAGTTGAAGCTCTTTGTGAGCCTTTTCCCAAACAAATAAAAAACAAACAAAAGAAAAATAAAACATAGCCCCTGATAATGAAGAATCACATCACTAAAAAAAAAATTCAGCTGAAACTTTCAGTATTGATCTAAATCATTCAAGGCCATTTCTTATGAAAAATAGGTCGGATAGAACTTAAAAAGCCAAGATGAGTTTTTTGTGATTTTTTGAAAATTTTTTGGTTATCGTCAATTGCGATCGATGGCAAAGGGCAATGGTCGGCAATGGCACGTCACTGGAATATGAAAAATGGCAGTGGCATTTGGGTTTTCTTTTAAAAAGAGAGAGGGAGCATTTGAGAAAGAGAGCAAAAAAATGAAAATTTTTTTTAGGTTTCATATAGCAAAAAAAAAAAAAAAAAGAAATGACGCCACTTTGCCTAGGAGGATCTGCATATAGATCCAAACTCGACCCGAGATTTACACACCCTACTCGATGACCCAATTGCTCTAAAATGATCTAATCAAACTACCATTGAACCAGGTTAAACCAGCCCAAACCATTCCAAATAGTATCGAATTGAACCGAATCGGGGTGATCACTTTTGAACCGTTTCTAAATCGGGATTGAATCGCATGTTATTGACTGACATTGACTATTGTTGACC